GACCAGAAGATCATCGTCCAGGAGGCGCCGCCCCAGCAGATTGTCATCCCCCGCCAGGAGCCCAACATCATCGTCCTGAGGGAGCGTGAGGGCGAGCGGGACGTCGCCCGCGTCCCCTACGATGAGGAGTACTACTACCGCCATGAGCGCCGCGAGGTCGGCGCCCCCAAGGGCGACCGCCGCATAGGCCGCCGCCGCGACGAGTACCACAGCGACGACGACGACTACTACTACTCCCGTCGCACCGTCCGCCGCGACCGCAGCCAGAGCTCGGATCACCACAAGCGCCACCTCGCCGAGGGCGCCCTTGCCGGCGCCGGCATCACCGCGCTGCTCTCCAGCCGCCCCAACGAGTACGGGGAGATTCCCGAGGGCCGCGGCAAAAAGGTCCTCGCCGGCGCCGCCCTGGGAGCCATCGGCACCGAGGCCATCCGGCGAGCCCACAGCGCCTACGAGGACCGCTACGGCGACGGCGAGGAATCCCCCGACCGCCACTCCGCCCTCAAGAAGGGCCTGGGCATCGCCGCCGTCGCTCTGGCTGCCGCCGGTGCCGTCAAGTATCACCAGGCCAGCAAGGCCGAGAAGGAGGAGAGGCGTCGTGGCCGGAGCCGGGGCCGAGAGTACTACTCCTCCGATGACGAATACTCGTCCTCGCGCTCGCGCTCGCGCCGACCCAGCCGCAAGCGCAGCCTCTCGACCTTGGCCAAGGCCGCCGTCGGGACGGCCGCGGCCGCCGGCCTTGTCAAGCACTTCCGCGACAAGTCCAAGTCGCGGTCCAAGTCGCGGCACAGGAGCCGGTCCCGCAGCAAGTCGGTGCTTCGACGCGGCGCCGAGATTGCTGCCGGCGCCGCCGCCGCCGGCATAGCCGGCAAGGTGTGGAAGGACCACCACGACAAGAAGAAGGAGAGAGACGCGTCGACGTCTCGAGGGTACAGCGACGATGATCGCGACTATGACAGGCGTAGCTCCGTCAGCAGGAGCAGGAGTAGGAGCAGGTCGAGAGCCCGATCCCTTTATTCCGAGGCCGCGGCTGATCCTGGGCTAGGCTTGATTGAGTACGGGCATGACCCCCTACCACCCGATCCGCGCTCTCCCACCGGCCAGGGCTACGAGTCCGAGGCCGAGGAGAGGCGCCGAAACCGACAGAGAAGACGGAGAGACCCATCATCATCCTCGGAATCCGACGACGACAGGAAGCGAAGCAGGAGCAGGTTGCGAGACTTGGCGGCCGCGGGCGCCGCGGCGGCGGGCATTAAGGAGTACAAGGACCGCAAGGACAGGGAGAGGAGAGACGAGGAGCGGCGGGAGGAGAGACGAGACGAGCGGAGGGAGGAGAAGAGAGAGGAGAGAAGGGAGGATAG